TAAAATACCTTGTAAATTTTTGGCGGGAAAAATTTTCCCGCCAAAAATTTCACCCCAAAAAAATTGTGGAATCACTTTTTCCCGCAAAAAAAATTTTTTGGCGGGGAAAATTTTTTGGCGGGAAAAAATTTTTACGGGAAAATTTTACAAGGTATTTTAAAGGTTTTACAAATTTTTACAAGTGTTTTGGCGGGAAAAATTGGGGGATCACTTTTCCCGCCAAAAAATATTTTGTATTTTGTGGACCTAATTTTGTTATATTTCCTTATATATTTATGATATCTTTTATTAAAAGAAGGGTAATTTAGTCATTTTGTACATAAAAGGGGTATTTTTAAAAATAGACATCTAAAGGGGGCATTTTTGAAAAGGGGTATTGAAAAAGGGGCATTTTTGTGAGTCTCCCTTTTATATACACTTAAACGACATTTGACTTTCTTCTTCTTCTTGCCTCAGTTTAGGAGAAAGATTTTTCTTGCGGTACACCGCGGAACTATTATTTTTTTTAAAAAAATTTTCTCCTTAAACTTCCAAATCTAGATTTTACCCCGCGGGTCAATTTTTTTATAACTAAAAAATTATTTTGCAAAATTTTAAGTTGTATTTGTTTTGTTAATATTGTTTATTTTGTTTAGTGTTTCTGATTTTATAATTAAATTTTGATTTTTAATTCTAGGATTTCATCCATAGTATATTGTTTAATATTAATATTGATCTAAACCCGTTGCACCATATAACCCCGTCCCGTAAAATTAAACATCATTTGTTATTTTTTTTGAATAATATTTTTATCCACTACGGGTTGCAGGTTCATGCGGATAAGCCCGTAGAGAGTTGCGGGTTTGCGGATCGACCCGCCAAAAGAGAAGCAATCTTTTGAAACCCTTTGTTTTGTTTAGAGGTTTTAAGAAAAAATCCCTAAAAAATAATTTTCATTATATGAAAAAAAAAGTAGAAGAAATTGTAGTATCAACATTCCCGATTTTTACATCACTCGTTACAATTAATTTTTTTTTTGCAGATAAAAATCAGAAGTTAACTAAGTCGAGATTTTTAAAAAGATTGTGTAGAGATTTTTGGTAAATTGTTGAGAACATATTTGATTTCAGAATCTTTACTTAAATAGATAAGAAAAGATTTTGTAGAGACTTTTGCTAAATATATGAGAAATGAATTTCAATTAAAAATCTTTACTTAAATAAAACAAATCAAATCTTTGTCCAAAAAATAAAAATAAAACAAATCTAAGTAATTAATGCTAGTGGCATGTCATTGTAAATACTTTTCAACTTCAGGATTTATTTGCTAATTGTGATCCAAAAATGTATATATAGAATTCTAAAACTTAAGATTTAAGAAGTAGAGTAATAAATTTACGTATATGAGCTAAATGAAACCCAGTTAAGCGCTCTTGGTGATTAGGTTTTAGCCTATGGTTACTGGCTTTTACTACGATGAAACACAGCATCAAATTCGTTCGGCTAAGCGTCAACTTATGAAGATTATGCAAATGCTAATTGATAAGTCAGTATCAATGAGAATGACCATTGGTTAGCTTTGGGCCTTTGGCTGATATCCTAAGAATGAGGATAGTTTGTGAAGACAGTTATGCAAATTAGAAGTCATTTGCAACAACAAAACTAGACTCAAATTTTGACTGTTGCGATAACACGTACATCCATACGATTATAAGACTTGGTGAAGTGATTGCAATGTTTTGAAGCTTCTTAAATCTCAGAAGCTACATAAAGCAGAAGAACGTAAGCTAGAATTTCTTCTGCTGTAAGAATACACTCCAATACGCAAAGTTGAAAGAATGATTACAATAACGGAACTCAGACTTCAAAGTTGAAAGAATGGTCCAATTGTCAACATGGAAGCTCCCAATAGCCGAGATTTGAATCGAGTTGATACCTCTACTCGAGTTAGTAGAAGGAGAAAAACCAACGAACAGTGGTGAGGCTTTCTAATCTTCTATTGCACACAGACGCTCTGAAAAAAAACGCAAGAAAAGTGAAAACGTGTCAGAGGAGCAAGTAGCATTTCAAAACAAGAATCTTGATTGTTTTGAGAGTCGCTCAAAGTGAGATTTTGGGTATAAAAGAAAGATTTCTTACTTAAGTATTCGTAAGTCAATATCATCGAGGTTCCCCAAGCCGACATGCTAAAGAATCTTGGGCCCAAACCCCGATAGAATCCTTTCCAGCCATCTTCAGCTAGCAGTTTTTTCACCACTTGTTTCGCTGAAGGTCTATTTTCTTGATGTCCCATGACCTGCACAGAGATTTACGGTTTAGTATAATTTCTATGTAGCAATACATCAGGCACGAAAGCTCTCTTATATTCATGAGCGTTAAGCAGCAAATGCAAAACAAAATCAAGATTTTATAATGAATGGGAACAGTTAATACCTGCAGTCGCGTTTTGATTGTGTCTAATGGTGTTGTAATTGAGGATGCTGTTGCACCAGCAATAATTCCTCCAGCAGCCTGGACCAGAACAATTTTTGACTTACTAGGAGCAGCAGTTGCATCCGAGTCACCACCATAACCTAAGAATCTGCCCAACAGTAGCAGATATTGTATCAGTGGTAATTGTAGCTTTGGTACAAATCCAAAAGCCCAGTCATATAAAATTTCAGGAACAACTAAAATACGGGTTTTTGCAATCAAACTAAAAATGGAAACTATCATCAATTAACCAGACCATTCATGGCTAACCTCCAGATAACACGTTGGCTTGATCCGTAGCTAGCCCACCAAGCAGCACTTGAAGGAGAATAAGTCATAACAGACAGACCAAACCCTCTGTATAAGCCCCTTACACCATATGACTTAATGATTTTTGTGGCAACATCGATACCACCAGTATATGTAGCATGACCTGAGTATCCTTGTACCATCAACTTTTGGCTAACCTGCAGAAAATAGGAGAATATAGTTTTCAGCCACTCATAGTGATTGAACGAACATTCACAGCATGTACAGATCTTACAAAGCGGTAGTGGTATAATAATACATACAACATCAATTGGGACAAACACAGCCTGTGAGAAAAGCGATGCTGTCATGCCGGCAATTCCATTTGCAATGGCGGCTTGTGTAGGTTCACTTAGCTCCAAAGGTGCAACCAACTTAAAAGCAGAAATCTTTGTGGTCTCAAGAGCAGTTAGAAATATGATCCTTGCAGGTACTGCACCTGTAATGACAGTACCAAAACCTCGGTACAGACCGGGAACACCATCATTCTTTAAGATTCCTTTAACTACAGAAAAGGCACTTCTCTCAGCAATCTCTTTAGAAGCAACTTGAAGCCTTGTTTTCACAACAGATACAGGATACAGAGCTACTGTAACACCAGTGAAGAGGCCAGCTCCAACAACGTAAAACCTCCTTTTGTCAAGTCTGCAAGTTAAAAGGACGAGAGTGAGCAAAAATGATTAGAGCTAGAATGAAGATATCAAGCAGTTTCTCCGTAAGTTAGATAATGTTTAGATATAACTAACTATCATTTGTTGTATGATTCTTCAAGTAACTCTCAGATTATTACCGTAAGAATCAAGAACCCTAAAAATATACAAATGCCTATCAGATCTTTCACCAAAACAAAGATGACGATTAACACTAGCGAACAAATCTACTGCGCCAAATCAATTTCTGAAATCGAGCTTCTCTTTTGGCCAAGGAGCCCGAGAACCAGATTCTATCCAATCCAAATTCGGAAATCTTCAATTACCTCCACCAAATGATTCCGTCAAATCAACGAGCGATATCCGTCTCATGTCGATAAATCCACCGAAGAAACCAATCACAAAATCACAAAAACTGGATCGAAACAACAATAAACAAATTCGGACTAATAACAACAACGCCAGAGAGAATCAATCAACGCAAGCGGATCAATCAATGGAAATAGAGGAAAACGGAGAACGTACTTGTCCCAGTTAATCTCCGTCTGACCAAAAGATGCGACACGAGAACTCGGTGGCGTGTTCATGACTCTCTCACGGATGCTGGGAGACTGAGTTCGAGGCGAAAATGACCTAATCTCCGTAAGACTCAGGAAGACATCTAGAATAGAATCGAGCAGAAGAAGACGACGATGACGGCGAAATGAAATTTCTAATTGCAGATTTCTTGGAGGCAAATTTCAACAAACTTTTGGGATTCGTCGGGGGAAGAAAAATAACTTTCCACACAAATTACACAGGCAAATTTTAAAACGCAAACGCGTTTTTTAATTGAAATTTCGCGTTTAGTCAGCAACAAACTTTTCAGTCCTAAATTCAGATCTCAATCAAAGGGCATTAATTTGGGCTTCAAAGCCACCGTGCGGGACTGGCTTGCAGATATTTCTTTCATAAATTATATCAGAGATATTATTTTTATTAAATTTACTAATGCGCAGAGTTCAACTTGTTCACAAATACTGTCCTTTAGCAATTTCAGTTTTTTCAAAAAAAATATTAAATTAACTTGCAAACTATTTAGTATGATACTAATCTTTGAAAGTGTCTAATTTGTTTGATATATATATATATATATATATATATCGGTAAAATTCTGTTCAAATACTATTCTTGACATATAAATTTTTTTGGAATATATACTTCAAAATTAATGGAGCCTTTCCGGACAAATGAGAAAATATCTTCCAACAAAAAGTGGCTCCCAAACAAAACGCCGTTTTTGACCTTTTGCCTTTTCAGACCAACGAAAATAATACACACGCGAATACATTGAAACGCGTGAATGTTAAACCAGGCCTTTATTGGGCTGAATTTAAAATGCATTTACTTAAGCCCAATTAAAAACCATTTGGTTTTGCCACTTTTTCAATCAATATGCTTCAAAGCAAAAAGCTTGAATCGATCAAGAAGTACAGAACCATTGAATCAATGGCAAGGTAAAACCCTTACACATCTCTAATCATTACCTCTCACAAAAGAACCCTCTTTTTAATTTTACAATCTTTGCAATGAGTTTACAAAAAACAGTTCTGGTTCAGTGTTTAAAACCCGGAAGGATCAGATCAAATCACCAGATTGAGATGAATAAAAGAAGAAGAAGAATGTTGAGTGACATAGAAGCAAAGTTTCCTTGTGCAGAGTTTGGTAGAAAAGGGTATGAATCTGGTGGAGGTAACATACATTCATCACCATTAAAGTAAACTTTTCTTGGAAAAGCCCAACCTTGCTTCAAAGTGAAAGTCTTTTGATCTTTCTGTAGCAAAACCTCTGATTGTACATTCCCTGAAGGTCCAGCTTCCATTAATAGATCATTGTAAAACTTCGTTCCATAGAACATTCCAGTATCATCTGCATCAAAAGGATTTCAAGATTGTTATTAGTCATTCAAAATGTTTTGTTTGAAGTTGAATGTAGTTGTGGTTGAGAGCAGCCCCGGCTCAATATATTTGAGAGCCTTAGGGCAAAAAAAATTTTTTTTGCCTATTATTATATACAAAGAGAAAATTTACTTAATTTTTAAAAATTTTGCGGAGTTTTTATAGTAAAAATTATTATTTTAAAAATTTTGGGCCTTTTTATACATTTTCTTATAAATAATTAGGCCTCTTAAAATATAATTCTCATATTAATAATATTTTTAAAAAATATTTGGGCCTTTTATATATGTAAAATTTTTTTATAAAAAAAAAAGCCCCGGGCCGTCGCACTTCCGCCCTACCCATCTGAGCCGGGGCTGGTTGAGAGTGGACTTACTTATGGATCCATAAGGAGAGACTGGTTTGTAGTCAAAGCTGAAAACTTGAGTCACATTGTTGAGATTTGGGTGCTGAATTGCTAAAGTCCAGAGCGTATGATTCATCCGGTAATTGAAATTTGTGATTGCTATCTTCACACGCCAATAGTCTTTGTAGTTAGTTTTAACGTGCCAGTGGACTCTAACAGGGCACATGTGATGTGTGCATTGCAGCAATGGAGTGTTGTCTTTCTTCGGTGTGTTGAGACCTTTCATGGTTAGAATCTTAGAATCAGCCCTGCAAGAAAACATTGATATTGATTTTTTTCAGATTAGGAGATATAAGAAAGAGTTTAGATTTCAATGATTTGTTTTTCTTTTTACTCACTTGACGCAGCCCTTTTTGTTCTCGCAGCCACAGGCACAAGACGGGCAAGGAGTTATGGTGTCGTTGTAGAAAGAAGAAAAGGAGACACAACAGCTTGGATGCTTTCTGGCTAGAAACTGTGAGTATGTGCAGGTAACATTCCATGTCACTGCAGAAACATAAGTTTGAAATGATGTTTAGAGATCAACGATGCATATGGATGAATAAAATATAAAACTTCTTCAACTATGCTCTGTTACAATTTAAGGTTTTTGAGTAATTGCTTACTTAAAGCTTGTGTTTTTCGCCGTTTATCAGTTGTGAGAAAAACGGTAGAGGGCACGATTTTGGCTGGACCGCAAGTGTAACCAGGCCCGGGACCAAGCAAAGTGAAGTTCTTAGGAAGCTTGACAGTCTTGTTTGTAGTTCCAGCCAAACCAGCACTAACCTGAAACTGGGATACTGCGGCTGATGGATCTTGACCCCAAGCTCCAATTACCCCGCCTTTGCAACAGTTTGAGAACTGTTGATTATAAGGCACACCTGGCAAGAGATCAACAACCGTCGGGGTTTTCTTACAGCAGTGAGGTACATTTCCCTTGAACTTGGAACAATCTCCTTGTTCTGTTGTTTGTGCACCAACCATTGACCAAATCACCTCTTTCTTTGCCCATGTCCAACCTAATGTCCAACCTGGATTTTGAATGTGCCGGTACATTTGGAAGTTGTTCATAGTTACGGTAGCCTGAAAATGCACAGAATGTATTAGAGATGATGAGAGTTTGTGCAAGTTTCAAACATGCATACACTCATGCACAAGCGCAGAGGATTCTTACCACATAGCCATCTGCTGTCCAGGACATGATATCCCATTTGATTGTAATGTTACCACTAGGATCTAATGGATCATAAGCAGCTGTAGAAAAAGAAAATCAGAGAGTAAGAAAAGTAAGTTAATGTGATGCAGAGAGCGGGCAAAAATGAATATCCGGAACTCACTTGCGCTAAAGATGATCATGAAGAAGAAGAAGCAGAAGCTGAAGAAGAGCCTCATCTTTTGAAGAAAGATCTAAGGATATTGATTCCAGGTACAGTGTTTAACCTCAGTTTATTCTTCTTCAGGAATTTGAAATTGATGTGTTTATGGATTTAAACAAAAGCTTTTCACAGATTATTTGTGAGTTTTTTTTTTGGTCTGAAGATGGGCTTTCACCTACTTGTTGTTGCATTCTCCAAATTTATTCTTTCTTGTTCCCATAACTTTAAGCAATGTTTATGGTGGTGATTGATAATAGAACAGCATTAGAAACTGACGTGTTCTTGTCCGAAGACAACATCTCAACTGTCTTTTGTTTTTAAAGAAACGAAAGCCCTAATGATTCAGAGATGAGAAGTGAGAAAGTAACTTGGGGTTGAAGATTAAAAAAAAAAAAAAAAAAAAAAGTGGGGACTGGCCATGAGTCAACTTCTGACACAGACATACCTCCCAACTTAGCTTACCATCTTCCTAAGCTTTCCTGTTTCTCCGGAAAAAAAAGAAAATTTCCCTTTTCTATAAAATTGTTCCCAGAAATTAAAAGGAGATTTAAATTGACATATCTCAAAAGATTTGTATATTTTTCACCAAGTTAAAAGAAAACATACGAGGTTCTGTACTTTCTCAACAAGTCAAGTTTTGTTTTATTTCCCCTCAAATATCAACAAAAGCTTAAATCCCTCTGGGCAAAACTGTGAATGTTAAAATCCTCAACGCTTTGGTTCAACGGAAAATATTTGAGAAACTATCTTTGTTATAATCTTGGCAATAATACAAACAAACCAGCTGTTCTCATGTCAAACAAACGGGAAGCACTTTTGTTACACTTATCAGATATGGAAGTTCATGTTGAGGCAAGAGACTAGAGTTTGTTCATAGTATTCTCAAGAGAACTGGACCTGGACCTTGCATTTGGACGAAGCTCTGGGAAGCATTAAGAGGTCCGCCGTGATCTGCAGCTTTTTGTCATCTCTTCTTGCCTGAACATGAACTACCAACAACTCAAGACATGGCAATTTCCCCAAGACATGTTTCATTTGCACTATCTCTCCGATATCTCCTACGAACTCGGTTATCTTGAGGACCTTAATAGGGCAGGACAACAGGAAAGAATACCCCAACAAACATTCGCAAACAGCTTCCAAATCCAGTTTATCATAAAAATTATAGTGCAAGGTACCCTGAAAAAGACATGAACTTTTGAGATTGATTGAGAAGTATATCTGACTCTATATGAGTTCTTTTGTCTGTCCAATGAACTTCTGATCATACCTTAATGGTGAGAGTCTTTAGATTTGGAGATTTCTCAAGCAGAATTTTTAGAGGACCCCAACAGAAATCTGGTTCACTGATAACCGATAAATGAAACAAGTTTTCAAACACTGGAACTGCTTCCCTGAAGTTATAAAATACCAGCTGGAACAGAAAAAAATAAACAAATTAGTCAGCCATCAAATTGCATCTATGGATCAAAACTTCAACCAAAATTTTGATTCTTATATCTCAATGGTTCCTAGATACAACTTATCAACATGCTCTTTTGTTTTTTAAGCTGCACTAACATATCAAGAACACTTACCCGCATCGTATCAAGACCCTTGATGCTCAGAGTCTCAACATTTTTTAGCCCCTTGATCAAATTTGAAGGATCGGCAAATCTGTTAACCCAATCGTACTCTACTTCCCTAGGAAGAGTGAGCCTAGCTTCCACAATGGAGTTGAGATTAACAGTTGGATACCCATATGGAATAACAGCTTTGTATTCTAAGTAGGCAAGACTCGGAGTATCAAAACTAACGCTCTCAAATTCAGTCCAAGCTTCAGGTTCCCATTCTTTACGCCGAATAGTAACTCTCTTAAGAGTCGGACTAGACACAAAGCGAGAACCTTTCCAATGTTCCCAGTTGAGACGATTTATAACTAACTCTTCAAGCACAGGGGAAGCAGAAAGAAGCCTTGTGAACGCACAACCATCACTACTATTGAACCGAACTAAATCAAGAATGAGAGTCTTAAGAGCTGGAAGCAAAGCATTCTTAGGGAGAATGTCAATAACAAAACCACACCCTAGTTTCAGTTTAACAAGTGTCTTGCTGCAAGTGAAGACCTCAAAAGGAAGTATGTAATCTTCTTTGACATTAATGTCCAGCTCAAGATCCAAGACACCGCGCTTCAACACATTGCAAAGACAATAGTTGAGAAGCTTATACTGAGCAAAATCCATAGACCCCAATTTCAGAGAGAATCTCCTTATACGGCAGCTGGGAGTTTTAGCCAATAATCCATCGGCAAAATTCTTGAAAGTTTCCCAAAGATCGAAAACAACATTCGGTTTGATAGTAACCAAATTCTGGAAGTTCTTGGAGACAAACTTTAAGCACGTAGCTTCCTTTGCCGAAAGAAAGGACACGATGTGGCAAATAACATCGTCTGGTAAATTGCTGAATCTATCCATACTTATCCCAAACCCTAGAGAACCCTTTTCACTACCAAGAAAACCGTCAATGTCTGAAGGAACCTTGGACGAATTGATGCCACCTCAATTATCAAACCACAGTTCACAAAGTAGATAATTACTTCACATGTCGACATGAAGGTGATGAAGCAGAAACCCAGAAATCATCACAAAACACGAGATTCAATAATGAAATTTTGTTAAGACACGCCAATTCTGGTCCCATGAAATTCGAGAGCTTACTGACGCGAATCAAAGAGAATTTGACGAAGAACAACTAGAGCGGAGTTGTTGTAACATTTCTTGAAATCAGAGAAAAGAAACGAAGGCGACTGAAGAAATTTGAATCCAATATTTTTTACTCGACTACAAAAAAAGAATTCAATAAACGGCTTTTGAGATGACAATAATCAAATCAGTCTTTAGATTGAGAAGCTTCTTCTTCTGAGAAATCTTTCAACGGACAGTCAATCCCTGAGCTGCTGATGATGTCTGAGTACCTTCCTCTGTTGTCTTGTTCGCTTCTATTGTGCTGATTACATTCCTAACATTGTCCTGCACATATCCCAACAAGAAACATGTTGTTATTACAAAGAATTCTCAGGATTTTAAAATTGTGGTTTTGTATTTTACCCGCCAAGCTGCAAGCTTTGTTCGAAGAAACTGCCATTGCTTTTGTCCAAATTCACGCTCGGCACAGCGGCTGATATATGAAAAGTATGAGAATGTGTGTGACTTTGGCTTTACACATATAAACCAAAACAGAAACTTGCCTGACAATTACAACTTGGTTCATCTGATTCATCTTACAATCAACCAATTTTGCAGTTATCGCCTTAACCACCCACAATTCAACCTCCTCGTCATTTACCTGTACCCCCAGACAAATTCGATGAGTCTGAGAAGCAACGCAAAAAGGTTATCAACGTTTAATGTAATGTTCGAGCAAAAGAAGTTAACCTGTAGAGTATTCTTGATCGAGACATACGGTATTTTGCCAGATTCATCTGAGGCCAAATCCACTAGTGACAACAATCTCATCTTTGCTACACAGTCTGCCTCGACAAGACCTGCAAACACCGTCTATGGCTTATTAGACTAAAAAATTGAGGATTCACTAAAGATGCTTTATGAATTATGATAAGCAGTAAAGGGATATGAACAGTACCATAGGTTTGCAGAAATCCTGAATTCGCATTTTGGAATTCCATGTATGCATCCAGCCTCTGAGTAAGAAAAATCTTCAGTAGCTGGTAAACTGGTGCATTATTAGGATCCTTCTCCAATTGTGCAACGGCTGGCATGTCTAATAAATCACACTGCATATTAAAAAACAAAATTCGTGGATGTAAATTCCAATAAAAAGACTTCACTGAACAAAAAGCAGTAGTTACACCAATGAATGTAAAGGTCATTAGCAAAAATCTTAAAACATTTATGATACCTGAAATATATTGGGAGCCTTGACAAATTCAATAACAGCTCGTACAGCTTCCTCCTTGGCTTCACTCAGGACCTGGGTATCTTCATTGGAGAAAGTTGCCAGATATTTTGTCACAAACTGAAGGGATTCTTTCGCCAAACTGGAATATTGATTAAGAATCCTATGAGGACACTGGTATACCTCAACAAAAAATAGAAGAAAGAAACATTGTTGCAGTACCTTTTATTTTCTCTCAGCACTTTAGCAATGGCAAGAAATACTTCGCGCTGATCTTTGATGTCAATGTTCCACTCTTTCAAGAAGCTGTCAATTTTCTTAAAGGAAGGCACAATATACTCGGTAACCTTCCCGTTTACAGCCAGTTCCAGAGCTTTCATGTATACTTGAAAACGAGCATTTGGGTGGTCTACCAGATTATATAGACTGAAGAGGCTGTACAGAGACAAGCAACAGTTGAGAAGGAGACAATACATAAATGACACATTAAAATAATATATGCTCAAAGACTCCTGCAAAAACATTAGCTCAAAGAGTCATGAGCTGAAAGATTCACACGATCATACATTTTCAAACGCAATGAAGCTTTGTCATTCGGCTGTTGAACAACCTTCGAAGCTATAACTTTCACCATTTCAAGGACTTCCTCAGGACTTGTCACATTCTTGACAAGGCTGCAAATTATGGTGTAGGTACACTCAAGATCTGATAACAACAGGCAAACAACATCAGAAATTATGGTCAAAAAGGACTAACAAACAAACAAATAGACCTGCGCAATGGTAAAATGATAAAAGACAGACCTTTCTCAGAGATCTTGGATGATACCAAGTCAGCTGAAGTTACCATTAACGTTGCCAAATCCAGCCACTTCCCATCTATTATAACATCCTCTGCTTCCCTACATAGCCTGGAAACTTCAGGCTCTGCAACCTAATAAGCACACAAAATCATAATCAACTAAACAATTCCATCGTGAGGCAAATTTTTATTAAAACAAGCAGATCAAGTGAGATTGCAATCGACACATGGTAGTTGGACTCCATTTTATTAACACAACGCTTCACCAATCAACGAAATGTAGCAACTTTACGAAAATAATCAAAATATTGAATCGTTTTCACTTGTCGATGATCGGGAAACAAGGTTGGTACCGACCTCGGGACCAGCATCTGCCCAGGCAAGCTGGGAAGTGAACCGAACAATGGCGAGATAAGGATCTACTTCGGAGGTGGGAACAATCGTCGTCATTCTCTGCTCTGAGTTTTGAGTCTCCTTCACTGAGTCCTAACGCTAATCCTAAATCCCTCCCTAGCACAAGTTCTTCAGCAGCAGCTGAGCAGAGAGAGAGAGACCAAGGAACAGATGGGAAGCCCTAATCAACGCTTTATGGTTTTTCTCGGTTAAGAATAAAACCGGGTCCGGTCTAGTAATAAAATAAGGAGGGAAAGAAACGGTTTTGTGTATCTAACGGCGATTCCGTTCCGTGCATCAAAATTAACGTAACGGTCAGTATCAATCGTATAGATTAGTTCTCCGCCGTGCCCCACTCGATATACCACCGTGATCCGGTTAATGGCCACGTCATCTCCATTTATGCTCTGATCGGAATCGAAGATTTTACGTGTTCTTTTGGTTATATGCTAAAAGAATGAATTTCATGAACTGTTAAATTAGTCAAAGAGATGGTGACTGATGGATAAAAGGAACATGGAAGCTAGTAGTAGACCATACATTGGATTAAAAGATTCAGAAATCTATTCATGAATATTTGTAGATCGAATTGTGAATGTTTTCAAGATTGAGAAAGCTTCTAGCTTTGAACCATAGATTGACAAATCCTTTTTCAAGAATACAGGAAACGGCCAAATCCAAAACAATCCTCACAACCAGTTTCAAGGATTACATTTTTTTACATTCGTGGAAATTGAAATCATTTGTCAGATCCAGATGGGCCTGATCCAAACAAGTAACCAAGAGAAGATCCTCCACCTGGTGCAGCATGAACCTTCGTAGATGGTCGTTCCTGTTTCTCAAACCCAAAACCAAATCAGTCTCGAATTCAAATTCCGATCCTCAATCAAACTCAAAAAGATATTAAAAGCCTTACCGTGAGGAAGTTGCCACAGTTTTGTCCATCTGATCTGTAGTAATTATTAGGACTTCCTCTCACACCAGCCGAGTTCTCCTCTGTCTTGTTTTTATCTCCGGTTGTTGTGGTTGTGGTCGTGGTCTTGGGTCTTCCTCCAGCTCCGTCGGTGGTTGTTGTGGTCGTGGTGGTCGTGGTAAAGCTGGTGTTAGCGGTGGCCTTGCTTGGTTTGGAAACAGACTCGCTGGAACCAAAAAGATAACCGAGAGAGCTCTCTCCGCCGCCGCTGTTAACTCCTCTAGCTTTACCCATTTTTCCGGCGAGAATACTCCGCCGCCGATTCTTGAAAATCTAACAATGTGTAACATTTTAAACAACTCCAGATCTATAATGAATTTGATTACTTGTGAACCATTACAGACACATAGGAGAGAGAGTTTTTTTTTTTGTCCTTGTACCTTTTTTTCCCTGGTTTGTTTCCTCTTCTTCTACGATTGGCCGCAAGTTACGGTAAAGAAACAGAGGATCAAGGAGATACACACATGAATGTGTATATATATATATATATATAATAATACACGTGTAAGACAATGTGTGGTGAGAATTTGCCATGAAGTTATGGTAGGCACGTGTGGGGTTAGTTGTTTGGTGAATCGCTTAATTTTACCCGGTTTTTTGTTCGGTTGAAACCGGTTTGAGGGACCAAATTGATTAAATCATAAGCCGTTTGTGACATTCTTTATGTTGGTAGAAAGCTGTTTGTAACCATTTATTTTTAATATTTGACATTCTCTATAGATTTAAAGATTCGAATCACAGAGAAAATAATGACAACCCACGAAAATTGTGGATTATCAATATTATCATCTAAATCATAGACAGCAAAAAGAGGGAGGCCATGATACAAGATTTATATTTTATTTGCATTGAAATTTTAAAATATAACATATGCTAAGTATTTTAAGGAAAAGAAAAAATGATGGAAGTGTTGGAATGGGCTTAGGGCTCTTGAGAAAGTTAAAGGAAACTACATGTGTAAGCCCAGTGGTCTTTTGAGTTTCATCCAATTTTGTGTTGGGCTATATCTCTCATGAAGTTTATGTTTTTTCTGTAGCTGTTTTATAAACGTAAAATCAAAAGTGTTTTTTTTTTTATCAAATTAGTGCAAAAAATTTCGGAATTACTTTCTTTTTTTTTTGTCAGTTTTTTGAATTCCTTCCCCTCTCTTTTTTTTAAAGAAAAAGTTTTTGATAAATAAACCCAAAAAGAGAATAAAAGTTAAAAAAGAAAGAAAAAAAAAAGCTGTGACAAAGGAGGTAACCACAACTCACAAGACTTGAAAGGTGTTGTAAGAGCCCATGACTTCAGGGACCATCACAATTTATACGATCATCATCATGACCATCATCATCATCATCCTACGGACGAGATTTTCTCGTTGACTTAGATTTTATAAGTGACGTTGAAGGATGGCAATGGACATGTGCAAATCTGTAGAAACCCTCACTTTTACATCTGAATTTCCCTGCTACATTTATGAAAGAAAATATATTGTTTTTTATTTGTGTTTTTTAAATAATAGTACATTTTAATCTATTTGTAAGGAATTAAAACCAAGGCACGATTGGATATAGATGACATGACTTTTTCTAAGCAATGAATCAAAATTTCGATGTTAGATTAAATATAAGATCGAGATTCATAAGAAATTGGCATCGTCTCCATCTTATTGTTTTTATATAGAAACATTAAAATTTCGATGGTAGCTACTCCCTCTGTATTTGAATAAATGTCGTTTCAACTGTTTTTGGGTAAATTAAGAAAGGGCACAGAATTACAAAACTAACCTTATGAGAAACGATTATTTACAGTTATATTTTATGAAAATCAATTTTTTTTTTTTGTTGAAACAATTAATACCATCGACGAAGCTTCTTTCAACGTCTCTCACAGTCCCTTTTTCATGTTTTCACACTCTCTCTCACTTCTCTCTCCAATTCTCTCATCAATCTCCGCAAACTGTTCTCATTCATCTCTAGCCCCAATCTGATAATCAAATCCATCTTTCAATCTCTCACACGGAGAAGTCCCAATCCTTCCTCTACGACGGCGGCGCTTCCACCGCGCTCTTCCTCCTCCTCCGCCGCCGACGCTTCAACTGAGGTTCGTCGGAACCGCTACAAAGTAGCGGTGGATGCAGAAGAAGGAAGACGGAGAAGAGAGGACAACATGGTTGAGAAAAGTAAGCGTGAAGAAAGCTTACTTTTAGAAGCGTCCTGAAGGTCTTCAAGCTAATCAGCTACCTCAATTCTCTCCTTCTTCTGTTCCTGCTTCATCAACTGTTGAGAAGAAGGTAAATTAGTAGGGATCTGGAACTGATTCTAGGGTTTGTGTTGTGTTCTCTGATTTGGAGCTAATTAGATCGATTTTGATTTTGGTTTTGGCAAGTTGGGGAGTTTGCCTTCAATGGTTGGTGGTGTTTGGTCAGATGATAGAAGTTTACAGCTTGAAGCAACTACTCAGTTCCGGAAGTTGCTTTCTATTGGTAATTTTTTTATTTATGTTTTTTAAGTTTGCTTTCGATTTGGGAATTTCTTGAAATGAATCTGTGGTTTTTGAACTTTGGCAGAGTGTAATCCTCCGATTGAAGAGGTGATTCAAGCTGGTGTTGTGCCTCGGTTTGTGGAATTTCTCACGAGAGAGGATTATCCACAGCTTCAGGTTTGGTGGATCCTTTATGTTCTGTTAATAACTTGAAGCTGTGGATAATCCTCTCTAATTGAATCTTGTGGTTATAGGGGAGTCCCGGTTTGGCTGCATTACGTGCCTGGAACAGTCTTCAGTGCGGATAATGAGCTATGGAAGGTTAGACAGGAAAATATTGCAGAATTTGTTTTTTTTTTTCTCTGCACCTGAAACTTCATTTGCTCTCTGTATTTTTTTTGTTTTAGCATTACATGGAGAGTTTCACGACGTATATAGTAAACCTGTTGAAAAAAGAGAAGCTTTTCGCACCACAGGGCGGTCCAATAATTTTGTCTCAGGCAAGACAAATGACAACATATAAAATTTCAGCATCGTTTTGTTTCTTTTTAGAATGTTTTTCTTGATATTGTGATTCATTAGGTGGAAAACGAGTACGGGTATTAGATGTATAATCATGAAGAAGATAAAGAAGAGGTTAAGGTGGTTCATAAAACTTCTGAAGTCCAAACAAAAGAGTATGAAAAGGCTGCAGAGCGCCTGGCAGCACCATGAAACATTGATATTCTCTTCTTGCTGAGGTTAGATTCTAAAACAGATTTTCATCGGTTTTCAAAATTAAATTTTCAATAATGGATTAATGGATTAATCACGTTTTTTTGAATAAAAATACTTGGAGGGAAACAAAAAAATTACCAATTCAGATGGAGGCAAATATAAAAATTGAAAACACGTTTTTAATCCTCTAATACTATACTCTTCCATTAACAAGAACATTTTCAACCTCTTCCATGGCTAGAGTTGATTTTAACCTTTCACCTACTAACAATGAACTCCATTCTTTTGATTTGAATATCATTCCAGGAATTAGTGAAGATAATGATTCTGAATATGGAGGTCTGAGAAACGAAGGTGCCTCTGTTTTTGCGGCGGAGGAACCAAATCCCGAAAGTGAAGATCTAGATGTAAATGTTGAAGAAGACCATGATACGGAAGACCCTTTTGTTGGAGAAGAAGGTATTTATGCTCTTCAAGTAGATGTATTTTCATACTGTAATTGTACTTCATTACGCTTGTGATTGACATTTTAATACAGTTCTTGATTTGTGTTTTCTCAATGTCAATGTGTAGCAGGTCAAAACGAGAATGGAGGCAATCCAAATCAATTCAATGGAGATCAAGGTATGTACCTTTAACATGGAACATAGACTTAGTATTTTTGCTACAGAATTCATGAATTTTTCAGCTTGTATCTATTTGTTTGAATTCCTAGAATCATGTGTGAAAGTGAACTGCGATAGATGATTGAGTAATCTCCTCTTACACTTGATAATAAGGTTTATGCTTAGCTTATTTTAATGGTAGAGAATCTTAAACACAAATCAGTTTGTCAGACTTCACATTTGTTCCTCAGGTTCTAATAGACTTTTTCTCCGCATTTGTTTAGGCTCTACAAGTAAAAAAAACTGCACTAATCGTCAAAGATGGGAAGTATATATCGCTTTGCTTGGAAGGAGTGTTAGAGGGAAATTAGGTAAAACAGCTATTAAAGAAGTAGCAACTTTACATTCTATGCATATTAGAACGGTTCAGCGAATTTGGAAACGAGCTAAGGATACTCCACCTGGTGCAATGGTTGATGTTTCTCAAAGAAGGAAGAACAGATGTGGTCGCAAAAGGATGCAGATAGACCTCCAACGTGTTTTGGACACTCCTCTACATAAGAGGACAACTCTGAGAACGATGGCTGAAGCTATAGGAATTAGTCACTCAACTCTGTATAAGAATGTGAAAGAAGGTTTAATGAGGCGGCATTCTAATGCTCTCAAACCACATCTGAAAGAAGAGAACAAAGTGGCAAGGCTAAGATTTTGTATGACTATGTTGGACCCTGCAAGTTTGAGTCATGAACCACATTTTATTGATATGTACAACATTGTACATATTGATGAAAAGTGGTTCTATATGACCAAGAGAACCGAGAACTATTACCTCCTACCTGAAGAAGATGATCCTTTAAGGACATGTCAAAGCAAGAATTTTATTGGGAAAGTCATGGTGCTGGTTGCAATGGCTAGGCCAAGGTTCAATGCTGAAGGAGTTGAAACTTTCTCTGGAAAGATAGGTGTGTTTCCTTTCGTCACAGTTCAGCCAGCACAAAGGAGGAGTAGAAATAGAGAAGCTGGAACACTGGAGATCAAACCAGTTACCTCAGTCAAGAGAGAGCATGTAAGAAAAATGTTGCTGGAAGATGTTATACCTAAGATTCGTGAGAAGTGGCCTCTTGAAGATGATGGAAAAATAATCTACATTCAACAGGATAATGCTAGAACTCATGTGGCTCCTACTGATACAGATTTTCAAGAACAGGCTTCGCAGAACGGATTTGATATCAGACTGATGTGTCAACCTCCTAATTCACCGGATATGAATGTTTTGGACCTTGGTTTCTTTAGTGCAATACAAGCACTACAACATAAGGTTTGTCCTAAAAGCATTGAACAGCTTATAGATGCAGTCAAAACAGCTTTTGAAGAGTATCCAGCTAGGAAGATAAACCACATCTTCTTAACTTTGCAACTCTGCATGCAAGAGACAATGAGGATTGGAGGATCTAATAATTACAAGATTCCACACATAAAGAAAGAAGCCCTGGAACGTGAGGGTCTGCTTCCGAGACAAATCAAATGTGATCTTACCATTGTAAACAATGTGTTAAATCAATTAAGAGATTAAGGTTAGCTATAGGTTTTGTAGCTATTTCAGTATTTTCTCTCTTTAGTCAAAACTCACTTGTGTTTATTCCTAGTTACTAAAGCATTGAGTTGTTTGTGTATTGCAGAAAGAAGAAGAGGAGAAGAAGAGAGAAAAGATGGCTAAGGTACGTCTTTTCAATTGTATAAGAGTAGTTTAAGAATGATGTGGCAGATTCTTCTTTTTCTTTTTCAGACTCTGTTTCGTCTTCTTGAGTCGCCAAGTTAGGCTCAACTTTTCCTTTCTCTAATGTCTGCTTAATAGCATCATCATAAGACATATCATACCACACGTTGCCTTTCCCAACAATGGATTTGTTGTGTGCATCCTTCATTCTCTCTTGTGTGCTAATCTATGAGTTCTGATATACTGATATAGTGGAGAAATAGAAACGGTACTAAAATCTAGAAACAATTTTATTGATGATCGAAAAAAGAAAAAAGGAGAAATAGAAACGAGACTAGTCTGAGACAGATTTTTTCCTAGATACATGATGTGGTTCCATCGATGGACAATAAATTTTAAGAATCTGATATAACCATGAGGAATCCTCGATCTCGTTAGCATGATGTGGTTCTTCTTCTTCATTGTTTGGTATCTTCTCTTCGAAATCATGAACAGATTTGGGATTGACTTCAGGTTCAATTTTGATTTCCTTGTTCACTTCTAGGTCATCTTCCATGGGGAGTTTGTTGAGGTCGAAAGCATATTCCATGGGGAGTTCGTTGAGGTCGAAAGCATGCACCACTTTGATGATTTTATTTGTTTCATCTTGTTCTGCTTTTAGGGTTTTTTCTGTGTGATTTTCCATTTTTTGTTTGCTTTGAACAACAGAGACAATATTTATAATTCTACGTGTTGAATGTTTTTCTGGAATTTTTATTTCTGGAGTTTTGGTAATTTAGATTGATTAATTATGATCAATTAATTGGGGGGTAATTTAGGAAATTTTATGCAAAAGTTGTTAAAATGACAACTAATTAAAAACACAGAAAAAAGGCTAGAACGACATTTATTCAAATACGGAGGGAGTATTTCTTAGTGGCTTAATTTATCAGAGTAGGAGTTTGATACCAAAAGAAAATTGAGAGTGATATAGACAAAGAAGTAATAAGAGAAAGAGTTGCATCATTTTGGCTGAAAAAAGCATATGGTGTACTACATGGTTTCCATGCTTTCAGTTCATCAATTTTCGATGTGTATACTGTTTTGAGTACTTTATTTTATTGTTACTATGTTTCCATTTCCCTCACATGTGTTGAAATAAATACTTTTTTGGGGAAAACAAATGAATTAATTATTTAAAATCAGAAAAGATGAATTAAAGAAGTTCCAAGGTACCTCAACTTGTGCGCCTTTTACAATTAGCTTATGGATGCAGATAAAAAGGGAATGCCAATATGGTTGGAACAACTTGCTGAATGTATTTCATTAAACAAATAAAATAGAGTTATACTACTATATAGTAGTACCATTTAAGCTTTCTATGTTGTTATAAAAATCAATTAAACTACACATGAAGGACCATTAAGATTCTCCGGAAACTATGTGCTAAGTTTCTTTGGTAACGCCGTTGATCAAGGTTGTGCGGAGCTCTAGGTTATCTTCGACAACGCGTCTCTCGTCGATCTCCTACTATATATCCATCTGATGAATTGCACAACGAAGGAGCATTTCATTTCTTTCTCGGTTGCTTTATTCCACGTTTTCTAGCTAATTAGGAACACTTTCTGGCCCTTGTTACTCTTGTTCCAATTTTTTAAGTAATGAAATGAAGTTCTGACCAAACAACAAAAGTGTTAAGATTATTATTCATGAAACAATAATTCTGTATGGAAACTAGCTCTTAAATTGATTATACACGAAACAGATAGGTGGGATATTATGGATTTTTAAATAATTAAATACTTGTGGTGTGGACTAAAAATCCATACAATTAACTTCCATTTCAATATTTTTAATATCAAATCCTACCAAACAAAATCATATCGTAAAAGTTGAAAGATTGCTAAAATCATCATAGAACTCTTCATAGTCTGTCTGATATCAATGGTTTAATTTAATTATTTTTTATCTACTCTTAGTTACGAGCAATATCATGATTTGATTTTACTACTTTCCAGTGAGGCCATTCATCGTAAATAGAGTTTGGTAGTAGTGGGCAGATTAGGATTATGTGCTTAGGGAATATCAAAGTGATTATATTTTTTAATTAACCACTAGATCCTCCCACCAAAAAAACTTACTAAGTGCTGGCTCGTATTATAACCAAATTGCCATGTGCATATGATGAGAACTGTTATTTAATACATTAAAAATTAAAATTTAATCTATTTGCATGTCTTAATTTGGTAATTTTATTTATTTACTTTTCTTATTTTCCTATTTAATCCATGCACAATAACATTTAATAATGTACCTAATAGTAATGGCTCGGTTCAACTTCTGACCAATGCTCATGATGACATTTTATGTTGTTATATATCTTGTCAAGTTCTATAACTTTGAAGGTAATCTGAGATCTAATCCACGTAAAATTTTTTTTAGAATTAACTACGGATTTTGCCCTTTTTTATAATGGCATTTGTGGATTTTGTCCTTTTTTGAATAGTTTGTGGATTTTGTTCTTTTTAGACTCCAAAAATATGATTTAACATGCGTTTCACTCGTTATGTTTGGGTTTAGTCGGTTCCATTTGTTCTTAGGGTTTAGTATTTGGTATAAAGTACATATTTTTGCAAAAAAAAAATCATAAATACGTACATTTTTAAGTGTTAAAAAAAGCAAAATCCGTAAACTATTCAAAAAAGGGCATTTTCGTAAGTTTTTTTTAAAAAATGACATTTTAGACAATAATCCCTTTATATATATATATTTGAGTAGTTTAGTATAATAAGGAGATAAAAAGACAAAAAACTAAATTGTCTTAACTCTTTCAGTAATTTACTTCCAAATATTACTAGCCTTTCGTTATTTTGGGAACATAAAAATCCTATCAGCGATTTCTAGTATATGTTCTATCAGCTGACCTAACTGATCTATGTGGCTAAACAATACTCTCTTTGTTTCACAAAAAATGTCATTTTGTTATATTTCACACATATTAAGAAATGAGTTAAATATACAAATATAACCTTATTTAATATATCCCTAATAATTTAAATACAAAGAATTTTAGTTTTGGATAAGGGCAAATATAGAAATTAGTTACAAAAGTTGCATTGAAAATGTAAAACGACATTCTTTTTGAAACGAAGAAATAACTCAAGAAGAACATTCTTTGTGAAACAGAGGGAGTATATACGTTACAGACTTATAGTATGAAATTTCTTTTAACTAATTATTAAGTTATGTCTTAAAAGTTAGGGATGAATATTTTTTAAAACGGTCTCACGAATCGCATTTTTATGAGAGAATTTATTACTTTGTCTGCCTATTTGCGTACTTTATGAAGAAATTAAAATCACATTTTTCTTAGTACTCATGAGCTTAACTTCATATCCACCTTTTAAATTAAATATACACACACTCTCTCCAGTTTATAAAACTATATAGTACTATTACTATGAGCCTATGAGGTTTAATATTCAGTTAATTTACACTGACGGATCTTCGAAATTTATCGACTGGTTTGAACGCTTGAACGCGAAAGATAAAGAACATTGAGAGTTTATGAGTTTGGAACATAGAACATATTGAAAATATTTATCCTTGTTATTACTTTGTGACAAACACAGAGCCGGATTTTTTTTTTTTTAAAAATACTAAACATTAAGGATTTGCAAGCAACAGCATTTATTATTATGAATATGTATTTATGATATGTGCATGTAATGTTGCTCGTCAAAATCAAAAAAGAAGAAGCCTTTACACTAGAAGTAATGGCGAAACTAAACAAATGTGGAAATGGTGGGTGATAATAAAGTGGAATCATGTGCCACTTTTTTTTTCCCTCAGACTATTCGAGTGCAAGGTTTTATCATGAAAACAGCACTATGAGGGGTTTGATTTTTTTAAAAGTCAATTACTAAATAATAACATTCGTATATTATTATTTCAGTCAAAACTGAATTTCACTTGCCAATTGTTTCCCACTACTTGCCTCTCTGTTTCGTAGGTTTACTGATTACCCTGTCTACACACTTTTCTTTTGTTAAGTTAAACCAAATCTAAATACTTAGTAATTAGTAGTATACATCAACATTGATATATATGGTCATGACATGTGAACTTTTTCAGTGGATGGGTTTATTTACATGATGTCATATATAGATGGTGCATGGCGTGGTTGACGTGTGATAAATTTGGGGATTAAGGGTCAATGCAAAAAAGTCAACTTGGAAAAGCATATTACCAAAACAAACAAGGTCCATGTTCAACTTCGTACCCTTTTGTTTCTCGTCACACATTCTCAAGCTTTTAAAACACCTAAATCAAGATCTTTGGGAATGAAACATATCTTTTATAATCTACGTATGTAGATATACTTAGTTCTTTCAACGAAAAAATCAAAGACACCAGCTCATAGAGGATTTGTTATTTTTTTTAGAGGATTAATAATCTTGATTTTTTAGAGGATTAATAATCTTGTTTTTTTAGAGGATTAGACCATCTCTAATGCCTACCTCTATATTTTCCTCTATTTTAGAGAAATTCTATTTTAGAAGAGATTTTGCTCCAATGCATTCCTCTAAAATAGAGTTTTTTCTAAAATAGAGGAGAAAGACAATGGATTACTCTATTTTAGAGGAATGCATTGGAACAAAATCTCCTCTAAAATAGAGTTTCTTTAAAATAGAGGAAAATATAGAAATGGATATTGGAGAGAATAGACGAATATGATGATTATTCCTGATTGGCCTAATTGCCCATGTGCAGCATATTATTCCTTGGTTACTTCCAAGGCTACAAGCTAATTTATAAAATAAATAAAAAAAGATTAGGTATATTAAACCATTTTAATATAAAATAAATAAGCAAGT